AAACTACTGGACGTAGAACATCTCTAGAAAAAAAAACCACATCAGTCACAAAATGCTCGGGTTGCTTCTGCAACCTCCTATAAAGGATACGCAAATAACTTATAAAAAATTAATAGGCGAGCAGCACTGAAAGAGTATGCTACCATGGAAGCAGACATAGACTGATGAGGATCCACTGCAGCCAATCTTGCTTCTGGAGACAGCACCTGGTTAATTGACGGATTAATTATATGATCGAGATTACCTCAGTGATTGGCAGTTTCTGACAGAATAATGGAATGGCAGAGTGTGTGATGTGTAATCGTTTGCTAGACGCCTGCAAGAAGCTACAAAATACGAGAGATGTGTTGGTACACGCCCCCACCCGCTTCCACCCTCTCGCTCGGCAGCGAATTCTTCTCGTTCCAGGAACTTGGTCCAGTCGATCAGCTAAGATCGATGGTTTGCAAGATCAGAAGTTATTATAACTGCAGCACTACAAAGAACTGTCGGGATTAGAGCTCTCTCTCTCTTTCTCTCTTTCTCTCTCTCTCTCTCTCTCTCTCTCTCTCTCTCTCTCTCTCTCTCTCTCTCTCTTTCTTTCTTTCTCTCTCTCTCTCGCTTCCTCTTCCCCTCTGTATTTCTCTCTCTCTCTCTTTCTCTTTCGCTTCCCCTTCCCCTCTGTATTTTCTCTCACTCTCTCTTTCTCTCTCTCTTCCCCTCACCTCTGTATTTTTCTCTCTCCCTCTATCTCTCTCTCTCTCTCTCTACCCCTGTCTCTCTCAAACGTCAGATGGGGAATCAGTGACTGAACAAGAAGCAAGAGGCAGACATGTTAATAGATGACAACGGTAATATGGAATATAGACTTTCACATACATACAAGCGTTGTGGTACATAAAAGGTATTGACTTTAGCAGACTGTTAGGCGTGCACCGTCCGGAGTGCATTAACCATAGGCTTATTTTTAATCAACCCCAGTTCAGAACACTAGAATGACTTCAGTAAGGGGGAATAATGTGAACATCACAAGCTAACTAAACATACACACATCGTTACCATGTTTCTGCATGGTGCTATTGGTAATCTGGATGTTTATAAGTTTCCGTTTCTTCCTAATTTTTAACTTCTCCTCCTCCGACTTTTCCTACTTCATTGTCCTCTGTAAATAACTGTGTAAAGGGGTAAACTCACACCCTACCCTTTTTTGGCTTCTCCCTTTCCCACTCTTCATCCACACTCAGGATATATAAAATTTCACCTTATATATTTGGGGGGTGGGGGGTGGGGGGAATTATTATTTTAAATGTCATTTGTTTTTATTAACCTCTTTAAAAAGACTTAGATCGTTTAGAATCAACAGCAAAGTACAAAACGTAAAAATTCGTAAGAGAAACCAAACAGTCAAAAACACTGAGGCAAGTCCTGCAACGTCTTGAAAAAAAGATTCTCAAGAAACTTTATGTTTTATTTCAAGTTGCTTTCCCAGCGGGGTGTATTTCTGCCCATAGCAACATATTTATCCAGATGAAAGAGAAAGAGAAAGAAAGAAGTAGAATAAAAAGAAGAAGAAGAAGAAGAAGAAGAAGAAGAAGAAGAAGAAGAAGAAGAAGAAGAAGAAGAAAAGAAGAAGAAGAAGAAGAAGAAGAAGAAGAAGAAGAAGAAGAAGAAAAAAAAGAAGAAGAAGAAGAAGAAGAAGAAGAAGCAGAAGAAGAAGAAGAAGAAGAAGAAGAAGAAGAAGAAGAAGAAGAAGAAGAAGAAGAAGAAGAAGAAGAAGAAGAAGAAGAAGAAGAAGAAGAAGAAGAAGAAGAAGAAGAAGAAGAAGAAGAAGAAGAAGAAGAAGAAGAAGAAGAAGAAGAAGAGAAGAAGAGAAGAAGAAGAAGAAGAAGAAGAAGAAGCAGCAGAAGAAGAAGAAGAAGAAGAAGAAGAAGAAGAAGAAGAAGAAGAAGAAGAAGAAGAAGAAGAAGAAGAAGAAGAAGAAGAAGAAGAAGAAGAAGAAGAAGAAGAAGACTCATTTTGAAGTTCTCCTGGTAAGTCACGTGACTATCGGGAACCTCCGGTGATTTCGCGAACACAATGTACCGAGAGAAACCATTTGTGTTCAATTGGAATTTATTCAGTTTTGGTGTTAGCCTTATATATTGATGAAACTCTATAGTAACGCACATGAAGAGATACATTGAAATTTGTCTGGCAATAAAGTTTTCACTGTATTGTTTGTGTAATCATTATTTTAAAAAAAATTATTCATCAAGATAATTTTGTCTACACTGTCGCTTTTCTAGAATGACTCCAAGTTTAGATGCATTAGGGCCTGAAATGGTAGTGTTCCAGATATCCTAGATATATTTAAACAATGCAGATTTCACCAAAAGACGCAGTCTTGCGTGACCGTCTGTGTCCTGCCGAGCTTGGGCTGTCTGTATTGTCTAGCCAAGATAAGAGATGATCCATGGAGCATGAGGTGTGAAATTATGACACCTAGGCAGAAAATTGGCAATCATCTGACGTGGTACACCCGAGATGGAAGACCACTGACGTGTCTTTAGCGCATACCAAACAGATTACAACTCGTGGATGGCGTAGACTAGTGAACTAGGGGTGTTATGAACATCAAAGAAGTTAATGTTTGTGGAGCGTCTCCTGTGGAGTTTTGCAGTCGGATATGGGAGAGTGGGAGTCCCCTTGGCAAAGTGGTCAAGCCGTTTGGCTCGCGCTCTAAAGATTGTGGGTTCGTGTCACGGCTGCGTTGTTCAGTTTTATATATATATATATATATATATATATATATATATATATATATATATATATATATATATATATATATATATATATATATATATATATATATATATATATATACTGAATCTAGACGCCGGAGCTAGGAATTACGTTCTTTGTGTGACGCTCTCTGTAGTAGTTTTTCAAGAGAGACCAGGCGGATGATGTTTGTCAGACAGATGGCAGTTGACATATGGGATAATGACCCGTGCAATAATGTCGATCCTATGGACTTTACTGTATGTGACCTAACGCCGAAGCAAACACCCCTGCAACCTAGAAGAAAAGGGAAGTCACTCTGTGGGCCTGACTTAATTACTTGTAATAAATAAAAATAATGTATTTACTGGTGAAAGAATACAGGGAATAAACAAAGCCGGTTTTTTTTTTTAATTTAAAAATGACCCTGGTTGCCTGGTCCACCGAGGTCTATGCCTACTAGGTAATGTCCTGGGAAGATGACCATATCAACCACCGAGAGCAGATGGGTCTATAAAATATAGGGTTTGCCCTACATACACCTGGCCTTGAAAAGGGTCCTTTAGTTATTTAATGTATGTTGTTAAATTACTTTAACTCGTTCTAGCTTATGTATGTATTATCCTTACTTACTTGATATTTGTTGTTACATTACTTTAACTCGCTCTATCCTATACCCTTAGCCTACCGCCAACGAGAGAGAGCAGCATGGGTAAAACTACTGTATTTAACGTAGGCTACACTCACTGGTGGGACGTAGGCTACACTATCTCGTGGGACGTAGGCTGAGGTTCTGGAGTGGGGACAGGAGAGGGGGTTTGGGTTACGGCCTGTTCAACATGTTTTGTTACCGTTAAAAGCGCCCACATCGTGCCATATAGAACACGCGATATCGCCAGTGGCTACCAACAAAGAGTAAAATGCTACATGTTGCTGGCCAGTCACTAAACGTGACACCCCCGCAACACAGGACAGGCCCTGTGACCCGACGAGGCATGAGTTGGAAGGGAAGTCACTCTCTTACCGGGCCGAAAAACGTTACTAGCATCTAATTTTGTTACTAGCTTCTCTTTCCCTGAATGAGGTACATTTTCTGCAGATGTCGTGATTGCAGTGGCAGTGGAAGGGGCGTCCGGGGCGTGGGGGGGGGGCGCCCTGGGTTTCATTACCGAAAAATGGGAGTGGGACAACATAGCAAACATGTGCATTAACATGTTTCAAAAATGTATGTGAATGTGTTTGTATGTCTGTGTGGGTGTGTGTGTGTGGGGGGGGGGGGGGGGGGGTGGGGGAGTGTTACATGAAACTTTCCGCACCGGGTAAAACATGACAGTGTTATGGCAATGTGTGTATGTGTAGCAGTATGACTCCACGACAGACGTAATCTGTTGCTAAACGTGATAGACCTTCAGGGGAAATCTGGACCACTACGAATTCGTCCCGTGTCGCCAGAGAATAATCTACTTATATATATTTTCTTCCGTCGTTTAGCATTATTTTTTTTTTTTTTTCAAGACCATAAAGACTTTCATGGAAATGATGATAGCCACTTGCTGTGTGTGAATGGGTATGAGTCGTTTGCTTGGGGCAGGGGATAGCGTGTGATTTTCTGTGTGTTTCTGTGTTTTGTTCATACATTTTTCATATCAGCTACGCGAAATACTAACCTCATTCTCTGCTAACTTACGATATCTAACTGCTATAATGTCCCGTCTACAGTAACGCAGGAGTCGGTTGAAGAGCTCCTTGTCATAATTTGAAGTCGGTCGATTACATTGTTGCATAAAAATATGAACTCCGTAGCTACAGCGATGATCCTTATGATTCTTCAAAAACAAAAATCTTTAACAGTGAACCGAACTACGCGTCTTTGAAACGAACTCACGACTTTCAGAACTCCAGACAGACTGACCACTTAGATACCCCTTACAAAATGTATCTATAAAGTTTCAACATATTTTGAAAAATATTTTGAATCCAAAGTTGATCAAATTATCTTTTCTATTCTTTCAGAAATGTCTGTAACAAGTTTCACCTAACAGACGACAACATTTGACCAAGAGCAGTTTTCACATTCCGTAATCAGTGATTTTAACTTATTTTCCGAGGGGATCAAGAATCAGTGATACTCTTCAACTACTTTCCAGCAAACAATTACTTGCTATGTCTGTCGCACCTTACACCTTTCATTGGCTGGATATGTAAACTTCTAGGAGACTCCTATGTTAATGCTTGATTAGCGTTCTTCAGGGTTCAAGGACATGTACAGACCGACCTATCCTCTGCTAGCGGTCAACCAGATCGACATTCAGACGACCAGCAAGACGGTCACTTCAGGACACGTGAGTCGTTGTTTGTAGCAATCTTTGTGTCAATGTTGCCGTCTGAATCGTCGTTTGTTGCAATGTTTGTGTCAATGTTGGCGTCAAAGTCGTTGTTTGTTGCAATCTTTGTGTCAATGTTGGCGTCTGAATCGTTGTTTGTAGCAATCTTTGTGTCAATGTTGGCGTCAGAGTCGTTGTTTGTAGCAATGTTTGTGTCAATGTTGGCGTCAGAGTCGTTGTTTGTAGCAATCTTTGTGTCAATGTTGGCGTCTGAATCGTCGTTTGTTGCAATATTTGTGTCAATTTTGGCGTCATAGTCGTTCTTTGAAGCAATGGTGGTGTCAACTTTGGCGTTTGAGTCACTCTTTGTTGCCAAGTTTGTGTCAATGTTGGCGTCAGAGTCGTCGTTTGTAGCAATGTTTGCGTTAAATTGTTTCGTTTGAGTCACTGTCTGTAGCAATGTTTGCGTCAAAGTCATGTCTTGGTAATTTCTGTGTGGCTATGTTTGTGTCAAAGTTGATGTTTGAATCATTGTTTGTGGTAACGTTTTTGAAAAACTGGACCCATGAGTAGGTGACCATACGTCCCGTTCTCGAAGGGCCGTCGCGGTGTAGCAAGCTAGACGCTCGCCAGCATATCGCAAAGTCGTTGATTCGGGTCCTTTCAGTACCAGACACCCCCCCCCCCTTAAAAAATGACCTTGGCAACCAGATCGAACTAGCTCTAAATGGGTACCAGGTACAATCATAGAAAGTAAAGGCGGCCGGCGTGATGTTTACCACATCAAGTACAGAATGCCGATTGGTATATTCAATATAGGTCTAGCCCTATATGCCTAATACGCCTAAAGGCGTGGAAAATGAGTCCTTTACTTATTTACTTCCCGTCTTTAAAGCCGACCGTCCAGGGGCAATGGCAAACTACTGGACGTAAATTTGCCTAGAAAAACCACACAACAGCCAGGGGCTGTTTGGGGTTGGTTCTGCAACGTCCTGTAAAGGATACACAACTAACCTTTACCCGGGTAGTTCCTTTTTCTCTCTCCCGGCCGTCCCGTCTATGCTAAGAAGCTCAATTAGAGAACATATACTTATAGCTGTCTCCTTAGAGCTTGTTTGGTTTCCTAATCTTTGATATGTTTAATGCCTTAACTTATTGATGGCCATTTGTCTGCAAAGATCACTCTAGATGTTATTTATCATCATCAGGTGCTATGCCGACTGGCGGGGGCAAGAATGCCTCTCCATTATCCGCGATCTCCTGCAGCATGTATCAGTTCGTATGCTGACACACCTCCATGCCGTGCAACAAGACTCTCAAGAATTTTCTCTTGTTGTCTTCCTCTATCCCTCCTTCCTTTCACAGATCTTTCCAGTGGTCACCACATTTTCCATTTTCCCTCTTCTCATAACATGGCCGAAAAATTATGACTGTCTCCTTTTAATGTCTGTGATAAGATGTCTTCGGGCTCCCGCCTTTTTCAAAAACCTTTTTGGTTGCTCTTTTTGGCTGTCCAAGTTGTTTTAAGCATTATTCTGTAAAAACCTCATCTCTGAGGCCTCAAGAAATTGTTTAACCTGCCTACCGATTGTCCAGGACTCACAGCCATATGTCAAAACTGGATGTATGTAGAAAGCAAGAATTCTTTTCCTCACCTTCAATGGCAGACATATATTGCATTAGATGTTCTTCATTCTATAAAATGTCGTTTTTGCTTTTCCTTTTCTGTTTCTTATTTCAGTGATACATCTTCCATCTGATGTTATTAGTGTGCCCAGATACTTAAATTTATGTACTTGTCATAAAATAACACCTTTGACTTTTATTACACATTTAGGAATAATTTTTTTCTTTTATACCCCCATTACTTCTGTCTTCCCATTATTCAAACTAAGGCCCATTCTTCCTCTTTCGACTACCACAATGTCTATCATTTCCTGTAGTTCTTTCTGACTTGTTGCTATCAAGTCTGTGTCATCAGCATAACGTAAATTGTTTATATTGTGCCCACCACCCACAATTCCGGGCATATCAATTAAAGAGCTCATTATATATTCACTGTATAGTGAAAATAAATTAGGTTACAGTACACATCCCTGACGTATGGCCATCTTTATGCACTGAAATGTACCTAAACAGTTGTTATATGTTATTTATAGTAAATATAAATAATTGGTGTTCATATATTTTTGACATTTGTTTACATATCTGTCTTATACAATTTATCGACCTATATATCATCGTTTTCTTAAAATGCATTAATTCGTTAGTGAAATATTAATAATAATAGTAATAACAGTCTCTCTAATTTATTTTAACTGGGTGAGTGCAGGGGATGGGGTAAACTGATTTGCACGGGACGATCCGTTTTCAAAATATTAATGGGATGTCTACTTTTCAGGTAAAATTATTAGTGGAATGTCCCGTTTTCAGCAAAAATTATTAGCCGAATGTCCCGTTTTCAGCAAAAATTATTAGCCGAATGTCCCATTTTCAGCTTAAATTATTTGTCGAATGTCCCGATTTCGGCTAAAATTATTAGTCAATGTCCCGTTTTCAGCTTAAATTATTTGTCGAATGTCCCGTTTTCGGCTAAAATTGTTAGTCGAATGTCTCGTTTTCAGCTCAAGATATTGTGTCACCCTACTTTGAGTCATTATTTATAGTTTCTGTGATGAAACACTGTGTGCAGCTATGTTTGCATAAAACTTCACGTCATAACTATTTTTTTTTATAGTCTATGTTAAATTTCACATCGGCATTTTCGTTTGTAACTTCGTCGGTGGAAATGTGATCGTCAGTCTCTCGGTGTGTGTTTAGCTTCCTTAGTGCAAGTTTTCTCTCATTCGAACTTTTGACTTCAGTCACAGACAGGTTAGAGCTCTTCTACAGTTCCATAAATTGATTACCTTATAATGGACACAGCATATCGACTTCCTTTAAGCTTAAACTGCATACTTTCAGGTCTTATCTACTCTGTGCTAGAAAAATCTACAATGCTAAAATAGGTTCTTAAACACTAGAAATTAGGTATTGTCTTATATGGACTGGTCTCCTCCCCAATTTCCCCCTCCTTTTGCTCCCTATTATGTCTGTTCTTATTGTTTTTTCTCCATTTAAATTACATCAGCTGTGTGCATACGTAGATTATCTTCCCTAACTGTTTATGCTGTATTTTCTCTGTTCATTTTCTGTCTGTTCATTTTTTTTTTTTTACTTTATCTGTTTGCATTCTGTCTGTTCATACAGTATTTTTAAGGGATTATGTTCTGTTTACACTCATTTTATCTTTATTTTGTCTGTTCATACTGTATTTTATCTGTTTATTTTATATTTTATGTGTTTCTACTATGTCTATCGATGTTGCATTATCTCTGTTTATATTGTATTGTCTGTGTTTTTATTCTATGTGTAAATACTGTTTTTATTTTTCTGATTATATTATGTCTGTTTATGACGCATTATCTCAATTTATGATATATTTTCACCTCTTTGCTGAATTTTCTCAGCTTATACTGTACTGTCTTTCACCACACAGTAATTTTGCCTTTAATACTGACATGCTATGTGAATTTTTTTAAACCCTGTATTTTCTCCGTTTATGCACAGTCGTCTCCCATGCCGCTCGGCTCCGCCCTGTGTGAGGACGGACATCCGTTTGTGTCTGACCCAATCACTGGCCGGAAGATGTGCACGTGTAGCTTGGGACTGGAAGTGACCTATGACCCCCGGTCTATGATGTCTGATGCTAGGAAACAGGGGATAGCACTCTCTGGGACCATCGGTGGACTATCAATGGGAATAGACACGTCAGCTTTTTACCCCCCTTTGGTAAGATATCGCTTTGCTGCAAGCCAGAGATTGTGTGTGTGGTCGGGCTACAGTAGTATTACGTACTGCTATAGTGCGTTTCAGAAATTGTGCCCTGAAAATTAAAAATATATCTCGAAAATAACTATACGGATTGACAAGAAGTAATGCGAATAACGCAAGCTTAAAACTAGATGTTTGTTGACATTATAATTATTTCACTGCAAGGACATGATTGTTAATAGGCTGCATACCTGAATTTCAACAATTTATTTTCAACGGTTTCTGAGTCACACATCTTTAGTGGTGGGCACGATCATTGGAACGTAATATACTGTTATAACTTTTTCTGTTTCTTCTCCTGGTATTGAAACCACAGTGTACTATTCCTTTCATTTCTGCTTCTGCTGCTGCTGATACTGTTACTTCTGTTGCTGCTGATACTGCTACTTCTGCTGCTGCTGATACTGACTTTTACCCTCTGTTGCTGCTGTACTGTGACTTCTGTTGCTGCTGATACTGCTACTTCTGTTGCTGCTGATACTTGCTACTGATATTAGCTACTTCTGTTGCTGCTGATACTGCTACTTTCTTTGCTGCTACTGCTACTTCTGTTGCTGCTGATACTTGCTTATTCTGTTGCTGCTGATACTGCTACTTCTGTTGCTGCTGATACTGCTACTTCTGTTGCTGCTGATACTGCTACTTCTGTTGCTGCTGATATTGCTACTTCTGTTGCTGCTGATACTGCTACTTCTGCTGCTGCTGATACTGCTACTTCTGTTGCTGCTGATACTGCTACTTCTGTTGCTGCTGATACTGCTACTTCTGTTGCTGCTGATACTGCTACTACTGTTGCTGATGATTGCTCCTCTGTGCTGCTGATACTGCTACTTCTGTTGCTGCTGATACTGCTACTTCTGCTGCTGCTGATACTGTTACTTCTGTTGCTGCTGATACTGCTACTTCTGCTGCTGCTGCTGCTGATTGCTGTTACTACTGTTACTTCTGCTGCTGCTGATACTGCTTACTTCTGTTGCTGATGATACTGCTAATGCTACTGCTACTTTTCTGTTGCTGCTGATACTGCTACTTCTGTTGCTGCTGATACTGCTACTTCTGTTGCTGCTGATACTGTTGCTACTACTTCTGTTGCTGCTGATACTGCTACTTTTCTGTTGCTGCTGAATGCTGCTTACTGCTACTTTGCTGCTGATACTGCTACTACTGCTACTTCTGTTGCTGCTGATACTGCTACTTCTGTTGCTGCTGATACTGTTACTTCTGTTGCTGCTGATTACTGCTACTTTCTGTTGCTGCTGATACTGTACTTCTGCTGCTGCTGATACTGCTACTTCTGTTGCTGCTGATACTGCTACTTCTGTGCTGCTGCTGCTGATTGCTGCTGATACTTCTGTTGCTGCTGATACTGCTACTTCTGTTGCTGCTGATACTGCTACTTCTGTTGCTGCTGATACTGTTTACTTCTGTCTTGCTGCTGATACTGTTTACTTCTGTTGCTGCTGATACTGCTACTTCTGTTCTGCTGATACTGCTACTTACTGCGATACTGTTTCTGTTGCTGCTGATACTGCTACTTCTGTTGCTGCTGATACTGCTACTCTGTTGCTGCTGAAACTGTTATCTTTTGTTGCTGCTGATACTGCTACTTCTGTTGCTGCTGATACTGCTGCTACTTCTGTTTGCTGCTGATACTGCTACTTCTGTTGCTGCTGATACTGTTACTTCTGTTGCTGCTGATACTGCTACTTCTGTTGCTGCTGATACTGTTACTTCTGTTGCTGCTGATACTGTTACTTCTGTTGCTGCTGATACTGTTACTTCTGTTGCTGCTGATACTGTTACTTCTGCTACTTCTGTTGCTGCTGATACTGCTACTTCTGTTGCTGCTGATACTGTTACTTCTGTTTCTGTGATTGCTTCTGTGCTGCGTGATACTGTTACTTCTGTTGCTGCTGATACTGCTACTTCTGTTGCTGCTGATACTGTTACTTCTGCTACTTCTGTTGCTGCTGATACTGTTACTTCTGTTGCTGCTGATACTGTGCTACTTCTGTTGCTGCTGATACTGCTACGGTTTCTGTTGCTGCTGATACTGTTACTTCTGTTGCTGCTGATACTGTTACTTCTGTTGCTGCTGATACTGTTACTTCTGTTGCTGCTGATACTGTTACTTCTGTTGCTGCTAACTGTTACGTCTGCTACTTCTTGCTGCTGATACTGCTACTTCTGTTGCTGCTGATACTGCTACTTCTGTTGTTTTTTTTTTTTCGTACTGCTGATACTGTTACTTCTGTTGCTGCTGATACTGCTACTTCTGTTGCTGCTGATACTGTTACTGTCTGTTGCTGCTGATACTGTTTTACTTCTGTTTGCTGCTGATACTGTTAACTTCTGTTGCTGCTGATACTGCTACTTCTTCTGCTGTTGCTGCTGTTGCTGCTGATACTGCTACTTCTGTTGCTGCTGATACTGCTACTTCTGTTGCTGCTGATACTGTTACTTCTGTTGCTGCTGATACTGCTACTTCTGTTGCTGCTGATACTGTTACTTCTGTTGCTGCTGATACTGTTACTTCTGTTGCTGCTGATACTGATACCTCTGTTGCTACTTACTGTTACTTCTGTTGCTGCTGATACTGTTACTTCTGTTGCTGCTGATACTGCTACTTCTGTTGCTGCTGATACTGTTACTTCTGTTGCTGCTGATACTGTTACTTCTGTTGCTGCTGATACTGCTACTTCTGTTGCTGCTGATACTGTTACTTCTGTTGCTGCTGATACTGCTACTTCTGTTGCTGCTGATACTGTTACTTCTGCTACTTCTGTTGCTGCTGATACTGCTACTTCTGTTGCTGCTGATACTGCTACTTCTGTTGCTGCTGATACTGCTACTTCTGTTGCTGCTGATACTGCTACTTCTGTTGCTGCTGATACTGTTACTTCTGTTGCTGCTGATACTGCTACTTCTGTTGCTGCTGATACTGTTACTTCTGTTGCTGCTGATACTGTTACTTCTGTTGCTGCTGATACTGTTACTTCTGTTGCTGCTGATACTGTTACTTCTACTTCTGTTGCTGCTGATACTGTTACTTCTGTTGCTGCTGATACTGCTACTTCTGTTGCTGCTGATACTGCTACTTCTGCTGATACTGCTACTGCTGTTGCTGCTTACTGTTACTTCTGTTGCTGCTGATACTGTTACTTCTGTTGCTGCTGATACTGTTACTTCTGTTGCTGCTGATACTGTTACTTCTGTTGCTGCTGACTTCTGCTACTTCTGTTACTGCTACTATGATCTGTTGCTTCTGATGCTGCTGATACTGCTACTTCTGTTGCTGCTGATACTGTTACTTCTGTTGCTGCTGATACTGTTACTTCTGTTGCTGCTGATACTGCTACTTCTGTTGCTGCTGATACTGCTACTTCTGTTGCTGCTGATACTGTTACTTCTGCTACTTCTGTTGCTGCTGATACTGCTACTTCTGTTGCTGCTGATACTGGCTTACTTTCTGTTGCTGCTGATACTGCTACTTCTGTTGCTGATACTGCTACTTCTGTTGCTGCTGATACTGCTACTTCTGTTGCTGCTGATACTGTTACTTCTGCTACTTCTGTTGCTGCTGATACTGCTACTTCTGTTGCTGCTGATACTGTTACTTCTGTTGCTGCTGATACTGTTACTTCTGTTGCTGCTGATACTGCTACTTCTGTTGCTGCTGATACTGCTACTTCTGTTGCTGCTGATACTGCTACTTCTGTTGCTGCTGATACTGCTACTTCTGTTGCTGCTGATACTGTTACTTCTGTTGCTGCTGATACTGCTACTTCTGTTGCTGCTGATACTGCTACTGATTGCTGATACTGCTGCTGATACTCTACTTCCTTTGCTGCTGATACTGCTACTTCTGCTGCTGCTGATACTGCTACTTCTGCTGCTTCTGTTGCTGCTGATACTGCTACTTCTGCTGCTGCTGATACTGCTACTTCTGTTGCTGCTGATACTGCTGCTTCTGTTGCTGCTGATACTGCTACTTCTGTTGCTGCTGATACTGCTACTTCTGTTGCTGCTGATACTGCTACTTCTGTTGCTGCTGATACTGCTGCTTCTGTTGCTGCTGATACTGCTACTTCTGTTGCTGCTGATACTGCTGCTTCTGTTGCTGCTGATACTGCTACTTCTGTTGCTGCTGATACTGCTACTTCTGTTGCTGCTGATACTGCTACTTCTGTTGCTGCTGATACTGCTACTTCTGTTGCTGCTGATACTGCTACTTCTGTTGCTGCTGATACTGCTACTTCTGTTGCTGCTGATACTGCTACTTCTGTTGCTGCTGATACTGCTACTTCTGTTGCTGCTGATACTGCTACTTCTGTTGCTGCTGATACTGCTACTTCTGTTGCTGCTGATACTGCTGTTGCTACTTCTGTTGCTGCTGATACTGCTGCTTCTGTTGCTGCTGATACTGCTACTTCTGTTGCTGCTGATACTGCTACTTCTGTTGCTGCTGATACTGCTACTTCGTTCTGCTTGCTGCTGATCTGCTACTTCTGCTGCTGATACTGGTTACTTCTGTTGCTGCTGATACTGCTGTCTGCTGCTGATACTGCTACTTCTGTTGCTGCTGATACTGCTGCTTCTGTTTGCTGCTGCTACTTCTGTTGCTGCTGATACTGCTACTGCTGCTGATACTCTACTGCTGCTGCTGAACTGATTACTGCTACTTCTGCTGCTGCTGATACTGCTACTTCTGTTGCTGCTGATACTGCTGCTTCTGTTGCTGCTGATACTGCTACTTCTGCTGATACTGCTACTTCTCTGCTGTTGCTGCTGCTACTGCTGCTGCTACTTCTGCTGCTGCTGATACTGCTACTTCTGTTGCTGCTGATACTGCTGCTTCTGTTGCTGCTGATACTGCTACTTCTGCTGCTGCTGATACTGTTACTTCTGCTACTGATACTGTTACTTCTGCTGCTGATACTGCTGCTTCTGTTGCTGCTGATACTGCTACTTCTGCTGCTGCTGATACTGCTGCTTCTGCTGCTTCTGCTGCTGCTGATACTGCTGCTTCTGCTGCTTCTGCTGCTGCTGATACTGCTACTTCTGCTGCTTCTGTTGCTGCTGATACTGCTACTTCTGCTGCTGCTGAAACTGTTACTTCTGCTGCTGCTGATACTGTTACTTCTGTTGCTGCTGCTACTGCCACTATTACTACAATGAATGATTTTGATGAAAATTGTTACCATCATCGATATTATTTCTATAACATTCATTTTTCTGTGGAATAATAATAATAATTATTATTATTATTAATATTATTATCATCATCATTATTAGTAACAGCAAACCCTCGTATGTGACATAAACCACATCTGCCATATTCACAGATCCGGGGAATCCCCGTCCGTCACGATCGATTACCTCCTTACATGACTTCTGGGATGCCAGGACAACCTTTAAACTTTGACCCCGCTTTGGCAGCGCATCCGTATGGATTACTGTAAGTATCGCCCGGAAACGGAATATTTCTTCTTGTTCTTGTCGTTGGTCCAAGTGAAATAATTACGTTTCCCTGCTGAAGCATAGATGCGAGATTAGAGCCCTTCGACCAACATATCCGACTTCATCGGGCGTTTGTTCACTGAGATAGCCATGTCGAAATGAATATTTTATTGCAAGGTATGTGGCATCTGGTACTAAGGTATTCTTGTCAGATGGCCAAACCATTTCGTCTGTGATTCTGCAAAGAATTGTAAACTTGGTTTTAGTGCTAGTGGATTCGTGTGTGTGTGTGTGTGTGTGTGTGTGTGTGTGTGTGTGTGTGTGTGTGTGTGTGTGTCGTAATTCATAATTATTATTTTTGTTGTGTTAATTATATCAAACATTTAATGTTTTATTTTATAACTTTGCGTAGAAAACTAAATATTCTATTACAGTCAATTAATCATATAAGGCACTAAATTCTCCGACAAGAAGCCGCCTCCCGTTTCATAAATCTGTAGTGCAGAATAGAAACCCCACTGTGCACAGTCCAAACAAATTCCAAATGAAATCCGCAGCACACAGTGTCGCTCCATGCATTCACCTTAGTAGCTGTGCCAGTTGGCCTGGCACATGCTGATGATGAAAATAATAATTATGATGATGATGATGATGATGATAGTTTTACTTATCCTGTGGCTCAATATCTTTTTAAAAGACAGACAACTGTGATGTGAATCAATGATGATTACATTACAGCTATGCCGGGATGGATGTCAACGGGGGACCAATCCGGAAAGCGGCCACTAGAGAGACCACAGGTCCACTGAAGATATGGTTGAGTGAACACAAGAAGAACCCGTACCCAACCAAGGCTGAGAAGATCATGTTGGCCATCATCACCAGAATGACCTTAACTCAGGTGAGTTGTTGATTTATGTTTGCCATCTCTCTTAGCTCAATTCACTAGCCTGCGGATCGGAAAGTCGTGGGTTCGGATCGTGACGGAGCTGGACTTTTTTTTTTTTTTTTCATAAACGACCTTGACTCGCAGGTCGATCTAGCTTTGAGTGGGTACTATACAATCCTGGAAGGTAAAAGCTGCCGGTGTGATGCTGACCACATCACCCACCTAGTACCGATTGGTCTATGAAATATAGGTCTAGCCCTATATGCCCAATACGCCTGAAGGCGTGGAAAGGGGTCCTTTACTTTACTTAGCTCAATTGTTGGCGTTCATGCCTTAGGCAGACTTTTAATTAGGTTTTGCAACTGGTACTATTAGTTTGTCGACTCTTCGTTGGCTGCTGAAGAAGAGGACGGAGAACGTGTGCGAATGTTCAGAGTTCAGTTATGTCAATTTTTCTATTCATTCATTCATTCGTTGACACCCTACCACATCAGTCCGACCTATTCGTGCTTCGTTCTCCGATTCAATATCCGTCTTAGTGTCTCAATGCTCAAAGTGCCCAACAGCAGTTGACTGGCATATCTTCTATGCCCCACAGCAGGCTCCTGCCTGTTGTCCTCTTTTACTATATCCATCAGGTGGTTCATGTCGCTGAACTGTTTATCTCAGCGTCCATGGAACGCAGCGCATTCATAATGGCTGCCCTGTCCATACTTCTGTTTCCACTGACCACGGCAGAAGCGGTCAGTCTGTTGGACTTTCATTACGGGTAAGATATACAGCCGAATGAAAAGCAAATTAACGAGCTTCGCTGTAAAACAAACACAAACAAAACGTAAACGTTACGGCGACAGAGCCTTCATCAGCATATACATAAATCGAAAAAAAAAAATTCACTGACGTATCCAGAAACATCCACGTTGATGTCTTGCCAGTGGAATGAAGAGACACATTCGGCCCGAGAATAAATAGCCATGGAACGCCAATGGTCGTACCTCGATGCTTTCATATGGGTAAGGCACTGTTCAATGAAGTCCACTTTCTCGCCTTCAACTCCAACTATTGTTATGCATTATTGATTATTTTGCCCTCTTTTCCGTCATCTGACAGGTGAGTACTTGGTTCGCTAACGCTCGACGGCGACTAAAGAAAGAGAACAAACTGTACCCAGCCGACAGGGAGAACCGCGACGATGATGACGACGATGATGAGGTTTTCAGTGGCAGCCAGAGGGAGGGAAACACGTCGCAGAGTGGAGGTAAGCAGTCGCTACACTATGTACTAGATTTATTCTCATCTGCTGTATTGTTAAATACCTGATTCTGCGTGGACTTTCGGTTACTTCTAACCGTCAGGGACCCTAGTATAACCTTACAGTTGGACGGGGTTTCTGGCATTTGTACCTGGTGATTTTCATCTGAATATCTACTCTTTATTTGTCTTTGCTGCTCCAACAGCCCTATAACCATATAGGTATCTCTCTCATATCATCTCACCTAGATGCTTGTAACTCTCACGTCCCAATATGGGTGGCAATTTTGCATTATTTTAAAGCCCTACCCCGAGTGTAGTCGGGAGCTTTATTATAACCTAACGGTGGAACGGAGTTTTTGGGACTTGTGCCCTGGAGATCCTCATCCGAAGGTGACACTTTGTGTCACCGGGTGTTGGTCGCTCCTTGTGCGGTCCTGGGAGCTAGAACAACGCACAGCGGGATTCTCTGACACTTTAAAGTAAATATTTATGTTGTGCTTTTCGCAAATTGGGATTCGAAGGGACTCTGCTTTCCCATCAGTCCATACACCTCAGATTCAATGAAAAGTATTCTTGTTTTCGTTGGCACTTTTCTGTCTTTCCAAACTAAAGTGTGATATTGTGATTCAGAGAAGCGTAGACATCACAGGCAATTAACTCCAGGGATGAAGATTCTTCTCTTCACTGCACAAACTTATGGAGATAGCCTTCATCTTCTTGCCGTTCACCAGCTGTAAACTCTGGCCGAAAGTTCTATTTGCTCAACCACTTCTCGGCTCTAGTCTTGTCCTAGAACCTAAGTGTTGTGTGCACATTCCTTTTACAGATCTGGCTTACTTGTGTGCAGAATGTTGGCTTCTCGCCTCTCATGCTGATGCACTCCGACTTCGAAGGAAACATCCCTTATTATGTGACTCTTACTACATGCTTGCTAGAGGGCAGCGGTTCTATCGTACCCCAACCCCCCCCCCCCCAACCCAACCCAGTGGGGATCCGGAACCCACACGGGGAATGGAAATAGTGTAGACACTATATGATGCTATGTCCCATGACCTATTCTTCTTCCGATGTTATTTCCAAGAAAGACACACACAAAATAGTCACTTATAAAAGCAACACATCCACGCCCAGTAAGCTCATCACGGCCTATAGTGTCCTCTATCTCGTTTTACCTTGTTAACTTCAAAGGAAAGCTAACACTAATACGATAGGAACAAAGCAGCCTGCGGAAGATACCGGATCAGAAGGGTAATGTTCTGCTTGCCTACTGGAGCTTCTATTCTAGACCGACAGTAAACCAAGGCTTGGAGCCTGTGATAAGGTTGTTTATCTATTCTTAAGGCTTGGAGCCTGTGATAAGGTTGTTTATCTATTCTTAAAGCTTGGAGCCTGTGATAAGGTTGTTTATCTATTCTTAAAGCTTGGAGCCTGTGATAAGGTTGTTTATCTATTCTTAAGGCTTGGAGCCTGTGATAAGGTTGTTTATCAATTCTTAAGGCTTGGAGCCTGTGATAAGGTTGTTTATCTATTCTTAAGGCTTGGAGCCTGTGATAAGGTTGTTTATCTATTCTTAAAGCTTGGAGCCTGTGATAAGGTTGTTTATCTATTCTTAAAGCTTGGAGTCTGTGATAAGGTTGTTTATCTATTCTTAAGGCTTGGAGCCTGTGATAAGGTTGTTTATCTATTCTTAAGGCTTGGAGCCTGTGATAAGGTTGTTTATCTATTCTTAAGGCTTGGAGCCTGTGATAAGGTTGTTTATCTATTCTTAAACCCTGGAGCCTGTGATAAGGTTGTTTATCAATTCTTAAGGCTTGGAGCCTGTGATAAGATTGTTTATCTATTCTTAAGGCTTAGAGCCTGTGATAAGGTTGTTTATCAATTCTTAAGGCTTGGAGCCTGTGATAAGGTTGTTTATCTATTCTTATGTGTTTTTCTTTTCTGTCAACAGGTTCAGATAAGAGAACAACATCGGACAGTGATACTGATGACATCAATGTTGACATGTCCGAATGCTCTGACGTGGAAGACAATGACACGCCAGCATCAGCGGTCGATGAGCTAGACCAAGGGAAACTAGACAAACTTCGCCAAGGTCTCGCGTGTGTTGAGACTGGGCCAGAGACGGAGAGTGCAACAGATTTGTGTGGCCGCGGCGAACAAGGTGACTGGGATATTGGTCACGCCAAACAAGGTACAGACTGTGGCAGTACTGGAGGTAGTCCAGGACCGTGCCCATCAAACAAACCTAAAATCTGGTCTATATATGAAATCATCAACGGGCCGTCCACTGCAAACGACAATCAGGCACTCAAGAAGCCGTCTTTACAAACACATACACATTTAGCATTATCTAGACATGATTTTCCAACACCATCTGCATTATCGATGCACAAAAATCCGGCAAGTTTCCCGTTTATGAATATATCCTCGTCGTTACAGTCATCGCCTTTTTCTTCGTCTTCATCATCTCTGACACTGTCAACCGCATTTCATCCGTTTGCTTCGGTTGTTGGAGCACCATCCATGCTGCATCATCCTCCTGCGTTGACTAGATTTGTGTCCAATTATTGCACGCCCATCTCTGAAAAAACCTCAACATTGAATAGATATGCAACAGTAGCAGCAAACAGACCATACGTAGATCAACTTCCTTCAAGGGTAAACTCTACAGAAACAATAAAGACAGAGCAAATGGCAGAATCCTGCACAGACGAACAGGCTGTAGAAAATAATAAGTTTAACAAATACAGCGATGCTTTTTCGAAAAAAGGCAAACATGAAACAGACATCAATAACTCACAAATTAAAAAAGCAACACGCCCAAGCCAAACAACCACATCGCAGCCCATGAACAGCTTGCGATCGGGCTCATTGTCTCCGGTGTCATCACACATAGCTGTGTGTTCAAACGAAACAAGTACAAGGTCGGCAAGCTGTAAACCACAATCAGAACGTTATATGAACTCAGGTAAAGCTGACCAACATTCAAGAGAACATCAACCAAAACAAATGATGTAAACGAACAAACCATCATTAGCTATATTTGTTATTAAATTAGACACACTTTAAAAGAGGCCTTGAGGCAAAAGTTAACAACCGATCTCATAGTACTCGGGGCATTCCCATAACAGCTCTGTCTCCACTTTCAGCAGCAAGTGAAGAACGCCTATTCCGATAGTACCAGTAACTGTGTGATTGTATGTTCGTCTCAAGCCTCTTCTGAGTGTTGCGCGTCCAACAGAACCACCGGTGGCTCCTTATTACACGATCGTCTTCAGACCCTGATGATCTGTTTATGCCTCTACAATGTTTGCTCGTTCCTAAAGGTCCCTTACAAATTGGGCGAGGGGGAGCGGAGGGTGCTGCGTGGTCACAACACATGGTGTCCGCCTCAAGTGCTAGAGTTTGAAGGTTCCATCCCCGGTAAGGGTTGTGATGTTTTCACTTAGACTTGGACTTCTAATAATTCCCTTCTGGTCTCTGGGTAGTGAGATTAGACACCTGTGTGTATTGCTGCACAAGTTATAAAACCCTTGGCAGTTGGAAATCGAAATGAGTAGCGCTTCTGATTCAACATTTTGAGTTTAAAATCTACCAAAAGTATTTCAGGATCCTCGCCGGTGCTACAGAGCCTGTGCACTGTGCTGAGCTTCTTCGGACTCAGACTTTAGTGAGAAGAGGAACGAAGCACTTATGGTTACTACCCGTGCGCTATGATGTTGATCCGTTGTTCAAAAGCCTCAAAACCTTAAACCTTACAAATTAGCAGCAAAAGGTCTGTTGTCAGTTCGCCCGCAGCTGAAATCCACTGGTGTTTCGGAATTAGGACGAACGTTGGCAGTGTCCAAGCCACACAAGTAGACCAAAAATTGGCAGATCAAAACGAAGTAGAAAAGATATAGCATGGACTGAGTTTACTAATTAACGCGTCCTGCGTTTCTTGGGGCATACATGGTGAATTGCAAATATTGTTATCTTTACCAGTCTCTGACATGAAACGTTTTTTTTTTTAATGGAATGACAAAACAACCCATTTGAAAAATTTTGAAGACTTTAAACAGAATTTCCGTACGGCGATAGCTGGTCACGTGTTTTGGACGTCGAATACACAAGCCAGGGATAGATGGAATATCTGGGGGCTGTAAATACCAGCATCTACGTGGCACATACCACAGCTCGCACCCGAACCCTCTTCGAAGCACAATGCTGTAAGAAAGATCAGGGTTTTGATGAGGAGACGGAAGAGGAGTAAGATGAGGGAGCAGGAGGAGGAGGGGAAGAAGAAGAAGAAGAAGAAGAAGAAGAAGAAGAAGAAGAAGAAGAAGAAGAAGAAGAAGAAGAAGAAGAAGAAGCCAATGGAATGGAAAGATATTGATACACGCCCACACACATACATACACACACGCACACACATACATGTTTGTATGCATGTTGTGTATGGTTTTAAAAAAAAGCTTAAAGAAGAGAGGAAGAGAGAACGCACACGTTCACGAAAGAGGAAGAAAGAGTGAGGAAGAAGAGAGAGAGAGAGAGAGAGAGAGAGAGAGAGAGAGAGAGCGAGAGAGAGCATGAGCATATAACATATTGCTGCTCTATGCAACTGAAAGATTCACAATAAACTTTACCTTGCTTTGTATTTGTTCGTCCGATTGTGTTTCCTTACTGTTTCATCTACGATATCTCATTATCAACACTGTACAGACTCTACAGGTGGTTACTGACAGTTCTTTGACGCTAACACGGTTACATGACCTGGAAAATACTAGGACTTATATTTGGGTTGGACTTCAATTACGAGTATTAAAAAAAAATTGCCATTATCATCAAGTGTCTTGCTGACTAGCGTGGCTGATCATGCTTCTCCGAAATCTGACACCCCTCCAAACCATGACAAAATGGTGTCAAGAATGTTCTCCCGCTGTCTTTCAATGTCTCTCTTTCCACACATCTCTCCAGTGGTTATAAACATATCTCTCCAGTGGTTATAAACAGATCTCTCCAGTGGTTATAAACAGATCTCTCCAGTGGTTATAAACAGATCTCTCCAGTGGTTATAAACAGATCTCTCCAGTGGTTATAAACATATCTCTCCAGTGGTTATAAACATATCTCTCCAGTGGTTATAAACAGATCTCTCCAGTGGTTATAAACAGATCTCTCCAGTGGTTATAAACAGATCTCTCCAGTGGTTATGAACAGATCTCTCCAGTGGTTATAAACAGATCTCTCCAGTGGTTATAAACAGATCTCTCCAGTGGTTATAAACAAATCTCTCCAGTGGTTATAAACAGATCTCTCCAGTGGTTATAAACAGATCTCTCCAGTGGTTATAAACAGATCTCTCCAGGGTTATAAACAGATCTCTCCAGTGGTTATAAACATGTTCCATTTCCCCTCTCCTCATAGTATAGTAAAGTAAGTAAAGTAAAGATCCCTTTTCACGTCTTTCGGCGCATCGGGCATATGGGCAGAGCGTCCCATATTTTTTACTGACCAATCGGCACTAGGTGGGTACCCATTTGAGGCTGGGTCGACCTGCGACTTTCCATACCACGAAAAAAATCCACGCAGCCCGCAGTGGGTTTCGATCGTTGGATTACGAGTCGGACTCAACGCCTTAGCCACGGACGCCGCTCCTCACAACATAACAAAACAAAAACAAAAAATGATGACTGTCTCTTTCTCATGTTTGTGATAAGCTGTCTTCAAGCACTCGCCTCTTTTAAACCATCTGAGTTACTCCTCCTAAATGTCGACGGAATCCAAGGCATTCTTCTGTAAAGCCACATTTCCAAGACCTCCAGATATTGTACGGCCTGTTTTTTAATTGTCCAACATTCACAGCCGTATGTTAAAACTGGTCTTATAAGGTTTGCGAGAATTGATTTCCTAACCTCCAATAACATTTATTTATTTCACAAAATGTTTTTCATTTTTATAAAAGACAGTTTTAATCTGTCATATTCTATTTTTTATCTCTGTGATACATCTTCCATCGGATGTTTTCTGTGTGCCTAGATACTTAAATTTCTTTTATTTGTTCTACAGTAATGCCTCAGACCCGGCTCGGTTGCCAGTTATGTTGTGATGTTGTGGAGTCTCAAGGCATCTGTGGTTCCTTCAGTCCATCTTTCTCTTGGTCGTCCCCTACCTCTTGGTGTCTCTACTTGCATGTTGTACGCTTTCGTTAATGACACCAGTGGATTTATGCTCAATAAATGCCCAACCATTTCAGTATTTGTTTGTTTAAAAAAATTTATTATAGGTGTTGTTCCAATTGTCCTACTGGGCATATAAGGTTAGATTTATATTTTATAGAACCAATTGGCACTAAGTCAGTGTCATGGTGGCCACATTTACTTTCCAGGAATTTACCTAGTGTCCATTTAAGGCTGGGTCGACCTGGGAGCCAAGGTGATTTCATTAGAAAAGTATGGCTATGTCACGACCCAAACCCATGAGCTTCCGATCCGCAGGCGATTGTCTAGCTGCTAGACCAGGCGGCTCCCCCGTGGTACCAGTAGTAGTTTTATGATACGTCCGTCATTCTTGTCCTATGGTCAACCAGGCCAGATCCCTGGTCATTCCACACTGTACCTCTGTTCGATCTTTCTTTCTTTCTTTTCTCTACTTCTGGAATGCCTCACGACTAGATAGTACATATATACTCGTATGTAGTACTTTTCAGCGTCTCTGATGTGTGTGTGGTCCATCACTTGTGTGGCCCATCTTATGTGTGGTCGACCTCTGGCTCTGTTACCGCTGTATCTGCCATACACTGCTCTCTGTGGGGCCCTGTGTGACGCCAGTCTCGTTAGATGACCAAACCATTTGACCTAGCTATAAAGTTCAGTATTGGTTCTGTGCCGACTCTCCTCCTGATATTATCGTTCTAAAGTCAATCCTTCCTCATTAGACCTAGCATAGAACGTAACCATTTCATTTATGTTGTTACTATTTTCCTTCTATCTCCTGAAGACAGTGTCCATGTTTGACACTATTAGAAGAGCATTGATAAGAATAATGTTTTGAATCGTGTTATTGAGGCTCAATAACCAAACCCCTCTATACTTCTCACATTCTCTCTTGCTGCCTTTCCTCTTCCAGATGGTATTGTTTGATATCTCCGTGAAACATAGTATGTAGACTCTTTTGATGTGGAGAGACACCGTGGTGTAGTCACTCGAAGCCCGCCTACGGATCAGAATTCGGGTCTTGAATGAGCCGGTATTTTTATTTTTCGAAAATGACCATGGCTGTTAGGTCGACCCAGCCGTGACTGGGTAGCAGATCCAGTCATGGGAAGTAAAGGTGGCCGCGCCCTATGCTGACCACATCACCCACCCAGTGCAGTTTGTTCTTTAAAACAAAGGTCTTTGTTTCTCAAAGAAATTATTATAGATGTTGTTCTAATTGTTTTGGAAATTTCTTCATTTCTTACCTATCCTTTCTCGTTTTGTTCACTGTCTTTCTCATGCACCTCATTTCCCGGCCAGTCATATTTTTTTTTTCTATCCCTCAGTCAATATCTAAAAATAACAATGAAAGAGCAAAGTTGGATTTGACATCATCATGTAGCAGGTCCTTTGCAGAACGTCGCTCTCATCACAGTCTGCCTGAAAGAAACTCGGTCTCTCGCCAGTTCTCCTGCCTCATGCACTTTCACACTCAAGGAGTCACTTATATCCTGTGCCCATCTTCGTGTCCGTCGGCCCCTGCCCCTCCTTCCTGGTACCATGCCTTCTGCTATAATTGTTTCCAATCCGTCGTGGCGCTTGATATGACCAAAATATTTCAGCTTTCGAGAAAGGATGTTGTTTATCACCCAATCTTTCTTGATGTTCAGATCGTTTAAGATGTCAATATTTCTCATCTTCTTTGTCCAAGATATTCTGAGAATCTTTCTATAACATTTTAGCTCAAAAGCCCCTATTCTCTTTCTTAAGGACTGAGAGATAGTCCACGGCTCACATCCGTATGTAGCCACAGGGAAGATGCATGCTCTCAAAATTCTAATT